TGCTTTCATATTTGACCTGTGCATATTTTTTCTTCATTAAATGCTAACATCCGGCAACACATGCCTACGCACCTCAGACTTTGGTTTTGTGTATAATAATCGTATTCCTTCTACAGTGTGCAACGTCAGACCCTGATGGCCGTAAGAGAGCCCTTGTAATTGGAGGAGGAATAGCTAACTTTACCGATGTAGCTGCAACATTCAATGGTATCATTCGAGCCTTGAAGGAGAAGGTGAGCTTAATCTACTGGGCTAAGAATCCTAACTTTGTTAATGTTAATGTCCTTTCCAAGTTTGAAAATTGACGATGACATATTTGATTACTCAGGAATCAAAGCTTAAAGCCGCAAGGATGCATCTCTATGTCAGGAGAGGAGGTCCCAACTACCAGAGGGGCCTCGCAAAAATGCGGGCACTTGGAGAGGAAATCGGCATCCCAATTGAGGTACCAATGTTTTTGAAATCTCTATTGTTTTAGCAGACATGCAAATACTTGAAATGCCTTTCGGAAGAACTTCACTGAAATTTATTCTTCTGTTTCTGTGTTCTCTTCTTGTAGGTCTATGGACCCGAAGCAACAATGACCGGTATTTGCAAACAGGCAATTCAGTGCATCAGTGTTGCTGCATAAGTCATTCTTCAGATTGCTCGCTCTTCTCCTTTCTTTTCTTTTCTTTTCTTTTCTTTTGTGGCAAGTTTCCATGTCTCCGTTAAATCCTTGTACCAATTTCGTTCTATCAAAAACCTCAGCGAAGTTAATGTAGTTTGTACGTGCTAATGGGTAATGGTAGCGTGATTGTACTGTGTGACCTTGTTATTGCAATAAAAAGTTTACATTGGTGTACTCATTTCTCTGCATTTTGAGATCCTTGTTGTCTTGTCAGTACCAAAACCCTCAACCAAAGTCGAAATGTGTATAAAAATGCTAATGGGCCGCAAATGAAAAACAATGGGGGAACGAGCTTGGGCTTGTTCTAAGTTCATATTCCGTTATAAGTTTGGGTTCAAAACTACAGTTGACCAAGAGTAACTTGACTAGAACAAACACAAAAGCTTGATTCAAACCCATTATGGGCCTGTATCTTTTAACCGTTGGATCAAACTAATTAATCATGTTGTTATATCTGTAGCTTTCTATACAAAATTCATATCCTGTCCTATTTAAAAATATATATTATTTGTGTATACATCATACCTAAGAAATATTGATATTAATGCTGACACAAGACCCATGTAGATTCTTTTATTGGTTTTCTTTTCCTAATATGAGAAGTAGGGCGGGGTGGGTGTATATGCACTTTTCATGCAGTGACGCTTTGGACAAATTAGATAATGAAAAGACGTAGCAAGCAACAAAACAAAATATTTTAAAATACAACCTCCATATTTGTTTGATTAAATACCAGTAACATTACATTTATATAGACTTGTTTGGCTTGTTGGTGGTTGGTTGGTGAGCTTAATTTCTAGGTTGCCATAATGCGGCTTCACCTTTACCAACTTTGAAGCCGTAAGTAACCGGCCATTGAAATTGTAACGTAAAATATAATCCATGTGAATCGATCTCTATTTTTTCAGGACTTTACATATTGAGATGGGTGATAATATATTCAACTTACTTACACATACTACATGTAGGACGAACTCACGTTATATAGCCCATACAAAAGTTTTTATAATTTTCAATACTGATGTAAATTGTAGTTTCTTCTTACTCGTTTGTTTCAGACAAAATTTTATTGATCTATTCTTTAGTTCCTTTTCTCTATAACAAGTATTGTAAATTTGTCTCTTTCTATATGGTTTATTACATCATCTAATTCTGAAATTGATGTCACGTTATAGAGAATATGAAATTAATGGTTGACATTATACTTTATGCCTCTAATACTTAATGGTTTTTTTCATGATCCTACATCTGGGTGTTGTTTCTAGGTTTATTTTGGGGTAGGAAAACACATTTTGGAACTCATTATATTGTAGGACTAGAAGGTTTTAATAGCCCTAACTCGAATTTTCTATTCCACATTTTCAAATCTTGGATTCGTGCTTAACTACAAGGATGCTAGGACTCGAACCCATAATTCATGAGGTTGCAACTTTGGCGTGGAGGGTAGATGGTAGTTTTTTTTTTTTTTTTTTTTTTCAGGACCTTTCCTATTGAGAGGGGCGATAGCATACTAAACTCACACACACTACACGGATGCTAGGACTCGAACCCATGACCTTACCTGAGGGAGCAAATACTCCAAACCACTACACTAGTGGGTCCTTTGAGGTAGATGGTAGTTATTATTGGGATTTTGTACCTCCAGATTGGTTGTTTAATACCTTAGTTGGAGATGCTAATGTTTGTGTTCGCCTTTAATAAAAGTATTTGATTCTTAGGGGAAAAAAAAAAAAAAAAACTCAGAACCTTTCCTGGAAAAGCAATTGCTCCAAACCACTACACTAGTGGGTCCTTTACCCCACCTATATCTGAAGAATGACGTTTGGTGAAATCTTCAAAACTTCTTAAAATATTCTTAGAAAACTCCCCCTTCACATTTCTTTTATAAAAATATTGTCCCTCCTTCATTTATTTCTTTTAATTTTTTTTATTAGGTTTATTTTCTTTCTCGATTTAACAAAATTATAAGAATTAGAAAAAGAAACAAAACACATATATAAAACTCACACCACTTGTATATATATATATATATATATATATATATATATATATTAAAAATCAATTGAGTTAAAATTATTTCTTGGATCTTCCAAGTTCTTTCGACTGCCGACCAAAACATTGCCTTTTTTTTTTCACCAAAAAAAAACATTGCTTTTTTAAAGTTGGATATCATGTAGTCTAAATATGGTTTCATTACATCCACCAAACCTGATTCTAAAAAGTGATAAAGATGGAGCAACAACAACTTATTATTATTATGTCATCCTTTTCTTTTTATTTTCTAAATATACTGGGATATATCATAGAATTGAGAATGAATATCACAACATGTTACGCTTGACCCTATTAAAAAAAAAAAAAAAAAGAATTAGAACATGTGACCACATGTGACCATGTTATGATGCATGTGCGGACGTGTAATATCCAGATATAGATGTATACAATAATAATAATAAATACTTTTGTGGATTTAAATCAGATATAATTGCACGTCTTTTGTGTTCTGTCATAAATCATAAATACCACAGCAGTGCAATATATAATTCGACGAGTTATTTACACTAACATTCTCTAAGGTTTTTAGCTTTTTAATAAAACCCCCTGAGGTTTTGGAAATTACACGAACACTATTTAAGGTTTTAAATTGTTTTCATAAAACCCATTTTTATTGATTTTCCATCTAAAGATTGATGATTTTATATATACAGAATTATCCAAAATACAAAGTTAACCTTTGAAATTAGATTGCACATACATTCATTGAGGTTGCTTTTGTCATTTGCACATATTTTTTTAAATAAAATTATCAAATTTTGAAGGAACAATCATTGAAAATGAATTTTGTGAAAACAATTTAAAACCTCTGGAATGTTTGTATAATTTATGAAACCTCAAGAAATTTTGTTAAAAAGTCAAAAATGTGAAGGGAATGTGTTAATGCAAATAACTCATAATTTGACCGACAATCTAGATAATATCAAATCATGTACTATTTCTCTCTGTTTCAGGTTTCAGCCCTGCCATATATATCATCCATTGCTGTTTGGACAGCTAGGTTGGTTCGTACTGTATTAAAGTACCCTACTCAAACATGTAAAATGTGAAGGAACAAAAATCACAAATTCCAATATGTAAATATTTAATATGCTTCAACAATTTAATATTTAATATTAAAGTACCCTACTAAACGACAATTTAATATGCTTCATCAATTAGCGATCATAAATACTTATGTAAATATTTCCGTATCCATGTTTGATATATTTAAATCAAGAAAAATGCTAGCCAGAATTGCCTACCAACAGTCAACACTGATTCTCTATTTTAAAGTCTAGGCTTTTCTTCTTGTTGAAAAGTATGGGAAACATTTATATCACGGCCAATAAAATATCATGTATGTGCCACGTTGACACGTTGTTGTTATAACATTTAATCTGGTAGTTAAATAAATAAAATAAAGAATAAAGTCTACAGTGGATCTCATCCAGATTGCATTTTCTCAAAGTTCGTTAGACTTAGGTTACTGGTCGTTATGGGTTGCCTTGCTTTAGCCGCAGCACTGAATTGAATTCCCCTCTCTCTCTCTCTCTCTCTCTCTCATCCAAATTCCAATCCAAATAAATATTTAAAGCAGTGGCACCCCCTCAAGTCTTTGTTTGAAAGTAGACAGATGTCATTTCCATGGTGGCCTGGGCTTAGATCATTACATATTCTTCTTGGTTGATGGTCGAGCCCCAAAACGGACGGCATGGATTTCTCTTTTTTCTTTTGTTATAATTTCTTCACCAACATCAGATCGTGGTCAGGTCCACCTACAACACCCCACCCCACCCCATCTCACCGGCCACCCCACGCCAATTCATTCTTTTATTTATTATAAAATCAAATTCATAATTATATTGCATACTTAGTATATATATACGTTTATGTTTATTTCGTTGCCATGTCATTGTCAAACAAATACTGCGTAAAATTCATTGTATTGACCTTCTTTTCTTTGTTTGGAAAATGCATTGTATTTATATATACACGTGTATGTGTACATACAAATTACAATGCATAAATACACTGCTTTACATTCACGTTATTTTATTCAATAGCTATGAATTATACAAAATATTCAAAAATACTTGAAATGAAAATGCACTAAAATTCTGAACCAATCCGACTAACATCCCATTAAATTTCTTTTTCAATGCATTCAAAACTTCATTTATTCATAACAAGTATCTTATTACGATGTCATGCACAAATATAAAAACTACTTAGAAATACAAAATATTAAATAAAATTAAAAATTAAAAATAGCATGAGCGGATCCAAAGTCTATCCAGTAGTGCAGCCTCCACATTCCATATCTGTTGGGCCCGCCTCTCCTATATAATGCAGCCCCCTCTCCCGCAAACATTTGCCACTCAAACTCATCTCTCTCTTCTTTCTCTCTCTGGAATTAGAGATGGCCGAGGTTCAGACTCAGACCACCAAGTCCAAGGTCAAAGAAGATCAACAAGAAGCTCCACTCTACGGAGACATCCTAGAATCCATCCTCTCTCACGTCCCTCTCCTCCACCTCGTCCCCGCCTGCCACGTGTCGAAGTCCTGGAGCCACGCCGTCTCTTCCTCCCTCCGCCACTTCCACAGAAACATCAAGCCCTGGCTCATTGTCCTCACTCAGACCACCAGGTACCCCTACGTCACCTCCGCACGCGCCTACGACCCCGCCTCGCACGTGTGGATCGACATTCATCCGCAGCCGTCCGATATCCCGTCCATCCCCATCCTCCGATCCTCGCACTCCACGCTAATATACATGCTCTCCCCCTCCAAGTTTGCTTTCTCAACCGACCCCCTCCACCACACGTGGCACAACGCGGCCGCCCCGCTAGTCTGGCGAACCGACCCGATTGTTGCGCTGGTGGGCCACCGGATCATCGTCGCTGGCGGCACGTGCGATTACGAGGACGACCCCCTCGCGGTGGAAATGTACGACGTGACGACCCGCACGTGGGACACGTGCAACTCCATGCCCGCTATTCTCAAAGACTCCGCGGCCTCCACGTGGCTCTCGGTCGCCGTCGACGACAGCAAAATGTACGTGACGGAGAAAATCTCCGGCGTAACCTACTCGTTTGATCCGAATCCCAAGGCATGGTTTGGACCGTACGATCTGCGCCCCGACGGAAGCGTATTTAGCTCGGTGATCGGATTCGGAAACGGCCGTTTGATTTTGGTGGGCGCGGTGGGAAATGCGGAGAATTTGATGGGCGTGAAAGTGTGGGAAGTGAAGGGAGCGTCGCTTGAGCGCAAGGAGATGATCGGGGAGATGCCAGCGGAGATGGCGGAGAAGCTGAAGGGGGAGAGCGGTTGGGTGACGTCGATCGGGATGAGTTGCATGGGAAATTCGGTGTGCTTGCATAACCCGGCGGAACCGGCGGAGATGATCCTCTGCGAGCTCGAGGGCGTAGGGTGCAGGTGGAGGAGCGTACATAACGACGTCGTGAACGACGGGAGCCGAATGCAGAGGTTGGTGGTGACGTGTTCGAATGTGGGTTTGCCGGATTTGCTTAAAGCCGTACAAGTTGGAGCACTGAGAATCGTGTGAAAAGTGGCGGCATCACTCATCTTTGTCTAATTGGTGGAGAAATGAATCCTACTTTAATTTTATTTTATGAAAATTTGTCCCCATTAAACTATGTATTGTCGCAAAATTAATCCTACTTTAATAATGTACCGTTTAATTTCCGCAATGGTAATCATTGGATTATTAATACCGGCTGATCAACTCTCCTAATATCGTTGTCCACCGTTTTTATTAACAATATAACTAAATTTTGTAATATAATGTATATATTATTACGGAACTAACTTGTATGTTAACGAGTTGTATACATTTATGTGTCTCGTAATGTGATTATTCACTTACTGAATTTTAGTCGTGTACCTTTCAACTTTCAATACTTTCCATTGCTAGTCTTAACCTCAAGAATCGAAGATTTGAACATTGAACATTGCGGTTGTGTGGTCGAAAAACAAAACCAGTCATATATGATCAAAATTAGACAGAAAAATCAACACCTATATATTTACGAAAATTCATAACCAATGATTGAAAATTATCGACTTGTAGTTTTCAATTGGACCAATGCCAATGAGTTTCTTGATATTTTATTGTGTGCTTCAAATCGAACCATGAGTAGTTGTCACGACAGATGGGCCTAAATAAGATTTTTATATATAATTATATATAACGTTATTCTTTGATGTAACCCTTGTCTGGCCCCAATTATCATGATGTTATAAACGATGCACCCAGGGCAAGCAAATTTAAGCCCATCACCTTCACATATCTTCTTCCTTTCGACTTCAAACCTATATGTATTATCCTCTTTTTTTTTTTATATTATATATTATTATGTTTAGCTGTGTAATTTTATTTCATTCGGACATCGAACTTTCGACTTCTTCCAACATTCTTCTAACATTGAGAAGAAAAGTACTATTAGATTAAGCGATTGTTAAGTAAGTCATTGTCCTTGTTTGGTTCAGGCCGCTAATCATTTTTTAAAGATTACTCTATTGTCTCTGCCTCTCACAATTGGGTTTCGAATAATTATGCAATCCTCTATATAATTTAACGGTGTTTCTGTTTTACAAAGCATCTGCTCCAACCCAAAAAAAAACAACAACAAAAGTTGAGTTTGATTGAGGAAGCCCACTTCACAACCAAAACGTTACTTTCAATATGAAGACCAGAAAGCTTCCTTGCGTGGGCTTTGTGTACTCAAGCTGATGCAATTGGGATGGTTGGGATTGACAGCGCAACCATCGTTTTTAATATTTGTTTTGGGTAAGAATACAAAATGTTACGGCTGTTGATATACCCCGCTGAAATCGCTGTCAATCTTTTTTTTTTTTTTTTGTCTGAACTATGAGGTGGTCCTGGATGGGCCCCAATTATAGATAGTACCTTTAAACCTTAACCACAATTCAGACTAATCCCCACTCACACCGGGTCGGCCCGTAAGGAATAAAGTGTTGGCCAAAGTGGTGACTCCGTATGAGAGCAGGGATCGAACCCCTAACCTCTCTTAAGGAATGAGAGTGTCGAACCACTCACACTAACCACCTTGGTTAATCGCTGTCAATCTTTTTGATCAGTGCTGCGTCACACCATCCACAGATTAGTTGGAAAAATCAAATAAAAATATGACAAATAAGAAATAAAAGAATGAAGAATGTGAGTTATTATAGGGTTCAGCCAGTGGTCCACCAAGACAGGCACATCACCTCATAGGGGACCCACTTAGCCCAACATGTAAATTATAGGCCCAAAACGAATGATTTCTCCTTCCTTTGTTTGTTTATTTTCCCAGATAGGGTTGGTAGTTGAAGACAATATTAATTCTCACTCACCCAATATTATATATATATTTTTTAAAAATAAAATAAAATAAAATAAAATCTGCTATGTGATTGTAATTTGTATTATTATGTATTATTATCATTATTGAGTGAATGTTAGGTTTGGAAAAAAGGTATTGCTACCATTACCTGCCTGCTTGGAGACTTTGACTGGAAAAAAACGGATTACCAAGCAACTAAACTTTATAACTTAAAAAATGAAGCAGAAATGATATGATCAACCACTGGGGCTAACTTCATTATTGAAAGTCGCACTTTCTAGTATTCTTTTGTGAGGTTGGTCGTAATAATTCAAAGTCTGCTTTTGTTTCTCTTTTGAAAGGGGAAAAAGTTCCAAAAAAGCATTTACCTAATCATGCTTGCTACTCTCTTGGCTCCAATTGCCCTTATCCATTTGTGTCAATCGCTTCAAATTCTATCTTCTCACCCAAAAGAAAACAACAAGCACAAAGGGTTGGCGTGAGTTGGGAACTTGGGAGAAATACCTACATATCCAATAAAATACCTCAAAGTTATTACTGAAAACAATAATAAGCAACTAAAACTATAAGTTCTAATTTTCCTTCCGTAAAAACTTATACTTCTATGCCAATCACAGTTCAACATGCATATTTTTTTATAAGTATTTTTAATTTGTTGTGTTTTGTAAATAGTGCATTTGTTTATATGTTAGACAGGGTGGAATTGGATTTGTATGGGACATTTGTTTTGAGGTAGAGTTGGTCATGGTCGTGTCGTGTGAGTATAATAAACGTCTTAATCATACTCAACCCATGTTCGACTCATTTAATAAACACGTTGTGCCCGGTTCCGGTTGTATTGTTTAACAAATTTTTAAACATGTCATATGTTTAAGAGGAGGTTGAATTCAAAATTGAGATGAGAATAAGAATGAGGTGATCGACTTAGGCTAAGGGTTTTCATTTGGATGGGTTGAAATCCACAAACCCTAGGATTTACGATGAAATAGAATAGAACATGCCTATACAATGCATGCAACATATTTATTATTATTAATGAAAATTAAAAGTTAAATAGTAAACTTCTCAAATAGGTCATTTCGCGGGTTGGCCCTAAACCCATCTATTTATTAAACATGTTATTGCAAGTTAACCCAAATTTGACCGGCAAATTTAATTGTGTGAATTTCAAGTCAAGCATCGGGTCGCGTCAAATTGCCACCGCTATTAGGTCAGCCAATGGGACTGCATAGATTTTAAATAATTTATAATTTTTTTAATTGAAAAAAACAGTCGGGGAGCTAGGAGTAGCGGGTAAAGTGAGGAGAGTTCATCTTCCCGAAAACGACCAAAATACCCTTGAATTAGTGGGAAGAAGTGTGGTCTCCGGAGCATCAATTATTATACCCAAAAGACCTTGAGAATTAACATAAATTATTATGAATGAACAAATTACAATGAGCATAATAAGCTGAATTAGCTGCATTGCATTACTAATAATGGGTTAAGGGAATATTCAGTTTTCCCAATGCGACAAAAATGCTCTTGGGCTTTGGAGTTTGGGTTGCATAAACTCATCATAGAGAACACCACCTCCCGGCATCATCTGCAATTTTTTTTTATCATTATTTAAAGACTGCTCAGGCCCTCATGCTAATAATATTCATTATTTTTATTATCATACAATTAATTAATTAATTAATTGATTAAACTAATAAAACCTTGTATTGTATTGCAGTTATATCCTTTGATTCCCAAGAATTTACCAACATAACACTCATCAGTCGTGATTTTGTTGCATACGAGGATACCAATACCTTATTATGATATCAATGTTTTTTTCAAAAAAATAATTGAATATTATGATATAGATATAAAGTAATTAATTTTATGATATTATAAATTAAAAAACAAACAAAAAGAGAGGGATAGTCTAGGAAAATTATTATCTAGATCTACCCCTAAACATCACTTCCAGGTGTGGTGGTACCAACTAACTACCACACTACAAACACACATTCTCTTCTTTTTATACTATCAAGTTGACGGAATTTATTTCTACCCGATTCAATAACGATGATATTTTGATAATTAGTATCATTTCTACTTGAATTTCATGTGATTTAGTAAACAACTTCTATAGGAATTCAGAATCTAACTCTTTTCAATCTATATGATTTAGGAAACAACTTCAATAAGAATATGGAATCTAATACTCCTCAATCCAACTCCTCCTCAATTCAATTTCTCATAATTCAATTACGAATTAGTAAACATGCCATTAGTGAAAATATTTACAACTAGGAAGATCCTACACCATTTTAATTATATATTCCATCAACTTTAAGTTTGTTTTAAAAATTCAGTTTTCTCTCATAATTTTCATTTTTATCCAATAAATACCTCACTAAATGTTTTGAAAAGTAATTAGAAAAAGGACAAGAGGGACAAATTATAACACGGGCGTAACAATTGAATTGTCCACGTGGGCGGGGCAAAGGCGGGTTTTAGAGATTCTCTCACGACACCCGATGAGGAATATAAGGAGTGTAAACATACTACAAACCGCACCTCGCGGTTCGCAAACCCACCACAACCGGCGTGTACTGAACCTCACATGCTCGCTCCTATAGGCTTTTCGCTGCCAATACTCCCACCGTCGCTATAAGATGTGACAAAATCCTTTTTACACGAACGATATTTTAGATTATTCTAATGTACGGGAATGAGTGTTCGAAATTGAATGCAAGGAGTCGGATGCGTTCTAAAAATATTCCAATACTACTGCACTAACATATTTTTATTCCTGATCTGCATATTTATTTTTAACATAAACTTCTTTTGCCAAGCAGCACAACATAAAATGTTCACCTCATGAACTTTAATCCTGCTGGAAAAGTGTCCCGAATGTGATAAAAGGTTTTTATCTTTGGTTGGATTTTTGAACATGGCTGGCTACTGCTAGGCTACAGCAACTGAGGAGTACAGAACAATGAACATGATGGCTTGAAATATCCGGCTTATTTTAGCGGGAGATGGGCCATGCCCTGCAAAAAAAAAGAAAACACTTTAACAGAAAGTGATTATTTTATGTCGTTTAAAAAAAAATTGAAAAAAAGTTCCAGGCCAAAGGCCAAGACAATCCAATCCAACCACGTGACCTGCCAAAAACTTTCCTGCAAATTTTCTCCCTTTTGCATAGACATCCCATTGTTCTCTCTGATCAATTCCACACATCCCTTCAGTCCAATCACCTAACTTTTTTTTTTATATGACCCCAAAGTTTATTCTTTTTATTTTTTTAACCTTCTGAAATAATAAAAACCCTATTTTTTTCCCTCTAAAAAAGACGCAATTTTTTCGTTACTGGGTCTGCTCTGTTCGCATCTGTATCTGTGTCCGCCTTTGG